CTGAAGGGGTTAAAGATTTTGATTATTTCCGAACAGAGTTGCCTCGTTTGAGGACACAAAAGGAACGAAATTAAGAACTGTAGAATCTGTGAAATTCAATTATCCAAACCCAGTGGCCGATCGTTCTCAATAACGACGTCGATAAGCTGGACACTCCGATCGGATTAGATAATCCTTCTTTCGCTAAAGCGTATCAGCTGAATCATGAGAACGTGCAAAAGAGAGACGAAGAAATTTCTGCGAAATTCAATTACCCCAAGATGTTGTGTGACGGGAATGCTGGTCGAATAAAACCGTATCGAACTTTTCGGATGTATCGAAATCTTCTCGATAATACTCTTTGAAGAGTGTTTTTATATCGTGGATGCGCTATAGACCATGCTTGTTCTTCAGTAGTCGCGTCGTTTTTAATAGGTACTGCGTACTACCTGGATAGATCGTTACTCGAACATATTCGCGCGATTTATGGGCTGGCTAGACGAAGGGTTTCCATTAAACTGATGGCGTCCATTAGATCTCACCGACAACTTGTACACACGTGTAAGGTGGATGTAAAGTCCACTCGTGATGTCCGCGAAATTATAGCGATAGGTGATGATATCTGCTCGTATCGAGCTACATACGTTTCGCTATCTATCTACTCTCTGTGTGTAATCGCTCCCTCTTTGTATAATAGCGGATCCCGTGTGTAAACAGAGTACCATGTTCGTTCGTCCATTCAACCATCCGAAAGAGACTTCTTCCTCTCCCCGACATTTTTCAATGATCGATGTTTAATGAGAAATGTCTGCGCGCTCGTCTGATCGTACATACTGGGTGGGCTCTTTTTCACTTTGACATTCTAGACGGTGTGTTGTTTAGATTCGGAGTTTTTAATATCGTGAAATTTGCGAAGGTGTTTAATCACAAAGGTGAAACGAAGTTTTTTGTGAACTTGGAGTTAATGAAATTACTTTTCCTTTTGGGTGCTGGATTATGAGAGGGAGGAAAGAAGTGAAGAGAAAGGATAGATAGAAGGGAAAGATGCGTTTTCCTTTCTGGGTTCTTTTAGTGGACTCATCACAGTAAGGGTTTGTTAAAGGGCTTCTGTTTTTTTTCTAATGAATATTTTTGTTCCTAATTCTGGGAAAAATCAGGGTAATAGTAGTGATATTACCACCATGAGTTAAATTTGACGAGGTCAATATGACATGGCTGTTGGGAAAATCTTGAGAAGAACTTACAACGGTAGTTAGGTTCAATTTAGAGGTTGTATATATAGAAACAGGGGCCTCAGCGAGTACTAGCGAGAAAGCTTGTATCGCCGGGTAGTCTGTCCCTCTGGTGGTGAAGCTTAGAAGCTACCACCGCACTATCACTCCTATATCGTTCCAAATAATCAGACTTCAAGCTTTCTTTTTTAATACAATCATTTCGTACGTGTTTTCGCAGGTGTGGACAATGAAGATTCTCTGAGGATTCGCATGGACGTGAACGAGGAGGACCCGAGAATGTGCGGTTCCGTGTTGAAGTGTCCGTGAACATAGTTCCGTGTATTTAGATGTTTCTCGCGTCTTCTCGTATCGCAATCTACCCCGTGACGGAGTACGCAAGAAAGATGTCATAGTCAGGTGCGAGGCTGAGGTCACGTCGGGCACAATGGCACTGTTGTTCGCCATCATTGTCATCCTGGTCACCACTGCCATGTCGCTGCCGCCGGTCATCAGAATCGGTGAGTCGAATTCGACGAAATTTTCCTTATTCGACGAAAAAAGAGAAAAAATTCGGCGAATTACAGCGGAGAGATGTGTAAGCGTTATCGATGAAATATCGATTGTTAACGTACTCGAAGATTCACGCTTCTCCAAATCGAGGAGGACGATGTAAATTTGATGTAATTCACGAAATTGGAACGAATTTTATACGATTACCCGCGTATTCCGCGTGGTTACGCGAATAAGGATGTTCGAGCGAGTAATTAAATTTATCTTGCGGCAGTTTTACCACGCTGGCTTCTCCTCGTTAGGGCGAGCAAGTCGGGAAAGAAGAGCGAGTGAAAAAAAAGAAGGAGAAAAATGAAAAATAAGAGAGGCAGAGTGAGTGAGAGAGAGGCGACAAAGTTCGTCGCGGAGAACATTTATTGAATGGGCTGAAGTTAATCTTTGACAGGTCGGTTGGAAGTAACCAAGTTTTAATTAATTCTACGACTAATTAACGTACACGCGAAATTCTTTTCCCTCGTCTGGTGCCTTCGTATACACAGAAAACTTCTCTCTCGGTATGGACCAATGAACACACGAGCCTCTATCTTCACGTTGATAAATTGAATTCAACAGTCTGACTAATTAACCGACTTGCAAGCTTAATTTACCATAGCCACCCTGCTACCGTTCGTGAAAGTCTACGTGTTGCACACGGGAAACACATGCCCGCGGTCTGTTTAACGAGCCAACTGAACAATCTTGAAACCTACCTCGCTGACCAATGCAACATACATCAGTTGCCAACTTATATTTCAGACATGCACCCAGAAAAATTCACCCAGAAACTTGGACGTTCCTGACGTTAATACAGACGTCTTAGAAGTAAGGAAGAAACTTTCCCCTAGCAAATTATTAAACAAAACACTACCACCGCCAAGAAATTTCTTGCATCGCAACCTAACCCAACCAACAATCCCAGAATCAACCCCATTTCACAACTCTCCGAACAATCTCCAATTAGTATCGCTCAGTCGGTTACTCCTTCGAAGAGTCCAGCCGGTGCACTCAGGACACTCTTCACCGGGAATCCAGAGTTACAAGGCGCATACAAAACGATCGCGAGCGTGAGACGGTCTCCCTCGCGTCGCGATTCATCCCTCGAACCGAGCGCCTCTTAACGGTTAAGCCGCTTTCGTGGTCTCCGAGGCCAGCAGAGGGACGTGTACGTACGGTCAATGGTTTCATAATGGAGAGCGTAATTCCTCCGAAACAGGACACTGAAAAATTGAACTTGCTGCCTGGTTCGTACGTGACCGTACTGTCGAAAGTGGGACGATGCCGTCCAAGCGCCGCAAAGTGGCTGGCAAGGGATCGAATCTTCACCTGTTACCAGGAGCACCGACTTCATCAGCTTCTCCTCTTCGCCTCTTTACTATTCCGCGCGCGGCCTCGACCACGCGACCGTGCATCCGAAAACGTTCCCACCGGCACAAACGTATTTGGCCTCGCCGATGGCCAACGGCGACGTTAAGCCTCGTCCACGCGACGATCGAAACTTTCCGTCGTGGTAATTGCTCGAATTTGAACCGCGGCGAGCCACCAGAGGGGAAACTTGGCCGCAATTTGAATCTCCCTGTTGACGAGGCTGTTCGTGATTAAGGGTGGAGAACGCGGTTGCTGCAGAAACGTTAGAGAAGTTTCTTCTGTTTTTTCTGAACTGGATCGGTTGAAGAGGGAAGATCACGCGGAAATTTCGGGAGTTAATTAGCGATTCAATTAGAGAGTTGCCGGGTGATCAAAGGAGCAGATTTTCACGACTGCTGTAGGAGATTAGATGCACACAAAGCACCGGTTTCCGGCTGATCAGGCTAAGCTCTGTGTTAGCCGCAGTCACTGTTTGGACGGGTGAAACTACCTAAGACCTCACTGTTCCCTGGCGGACAATCAGGATAGAGGAACCACGTCGGCGATCTTAATAAATGAGCTTTCGAGTCGATACCGTAATTAGTAAGGCAAACAGACGATTTTCTTGCGAGCATATTTTACCAAAGGGGTTATTAATCAGAGGAGTATCAACGGTGATTGAAGAGTTCATTAAATAGAATTTCATCCTGTCTATCTAGAGGGTTAATAAAGTTTTTTTTTCTCCCGGGGGAATCATCTCTGGCGTAAACAGGATTTTCTCCCTCGTTTCGAGTATAATAATCGTGCGGACGTTGACGTACGATCTCGAGGTTTCTTCTGGCGACATCAATCTTTCGACGTATTGCCGTTTCACCGGCCGCGGAACTTCTGTTCGTCTTTCCGGTCCTCGACGTAGAGATCCTATTCACGACGAGGAATGGACAGCGTCGCGAAAAAAAACTATTTCGAGTACGTGTGAAAAGCTCATCGCGATTCAACGCGCGAAGGTTTTCCGGGGTTTGGCTTATTTTTTGTCGATACTGGAAGCCATTCGATCCTTCGGCGTGTATTCGATGGATCCTTGCCGTATCGATTCGTTATTCGACCGTGTACACCGGTCTTTCGAACGGATTTTCAAAGCATTCTCGATCGCGGTAAACAAGTTTCCACGGGAAAATTCTGCACGGGGATTCAGTTAGTGCGGGAAGTTGGTCAAGCTTTTGTTTTCAATAACAGCGCCCACTGCGAAACGTGGAAATGTCTAACAAAAAGGCAATATGTTTAAAGTTGTAACTTTTTCAAAGTAGAGTTTGCTGATAGAAAAATAGCGTAGACGAAACCAGAGCTCGTGAAACGTTTACGGAAGTTCGAATAGAGAGCAACGTGAATAGAATCGTTAAAGATGGATTTTGGAGAATTTTTCGGGGAAGAATCTTTAGAGAAAGGGTTAAATTTCTCGCGGTTCTGTTTGATAGTGCCACAGTGAAAAGATCGAACGGCTAGTGAATTTGTATTGGAACAATGTTTGCGTGAAATTAACCACTGGTAATCTAATAGAATCACAGGAGATGCTAAAGGGCCGGATACTTGAAGCAATTAGGAAGTGTGACCAACCTATTAAGGTCCACCTCTGGCCGTGCTGTAATCAGCTATGGGATTCATCGGGCGTAGTGGAAATTTCAATTAGTCGTCGGTCCCGTTCGAAGCTTTAATTACCGTCAGTCGGTTTTCCAGGGGAAATTAATGCCTTTCTTCATAAACATCGTTGCGAAAGGGAATTTTC